GAAATATAGGTCAAAGTGCTTCTCAGATCTCCAGATTATTTCCTTAAATGGAAAACAAATCTCTCATCCAGTTTCATAAACTCCATAATTTATTTTGAAGATTTGGATTCCTGAAACTTTTGGAATGTTCAAGTTCATCAAGTCTTCAAGTCTCACAGCCAAGCAGCACTTTAACCAATCTTATCTCCAGGAATCAGGACTGTTCTTTTTGTAAAAAGTTCAAGAATAAATAAAAGGCAAATATGTTTTCTTGACCTCAGCCGAGAGAGAAATATTAGCTCTACATATTAACTTTGGTTAGAGACACACATACATACAGATCCTACATACATACAGAGCAGCTCAGAAGGTTTACAGCCCTCTGTTTTTTATTAGAGTCTTGCCAGTCAGAAGAATTTCTTCAGGTCACCCAGACCACAAGAAAAGAGTTAGTATCCTGAAGCTCATCAAAAATATAGGCCTCCTCCAAAATCTCTCTCCATAACCAAATCATGTCAGTGAAGACTAGCAGCAGCTACACAGACTCATGCTGAGGTGTGGGTGCCATTTCACAGTGAATTCTGTTAACGATGCCCGTTATCTTGTTGGACTGATGATATCAGCAAATGATGAGATTTCTTCTGCCCAAGGGGGTTAAAAATATCTATTCCATTGAACTTTAAAAGGCAGAACTGTCAAAGGGCAAGTCCCTGGGGCGGAGAGACTGGATGGCAATAACATCCAGTGTCAGCTTGCTGGGACAAGGATATGACCTAACTCCAAATCAGTAGAGAGCAGGTGGCTAGATCAAATTCTTCCCCATTACCAATTCACTGGAAATAAGCTCCATAAAAACTGCTCCTCCAAAAGTACATCATATAAAATCTATTTGTAACAAATACTGATCAGATTGACAACACAGCTGCAGCCACTTCGATAACCAATTAGATAATGTCCCTCAGTGCTGCCCTTAGGAATCCCAGCAATGTTTTCAATGTCCAAAATAAAACCCCAACTACCTGTTCAGTTGGTCCATCCACAAGATGACTTACTGAACTCATACACAATAATAATAGTGCAAGAGGGAGTATTTCAAGTGATCTATAACGACTTTAAATACACTTCCAAAGCAGACTATATTTCTGTATTGCTTTGTGATAAACAGTCAGTCCAAGATTATACAGTGGATTTATAAAAACAACCAACCACCACTGAGAAGCTAAATGCTGATTAACAGTCTGCCCTATCATCTTCCACATCTACCTTCACCTTCTGGTACTCTCAAACAAACATATTTCTCCAGGCTCACAAACATACTATCAGGAGTCACAGACTTTCAGTGCATATCCACTTGGCAGCCCTTCTCAATAAGAAGCCCTCTACACAACCAGCTACCTCAAATCTGTATCTTCTAGCTTTTCTCAACACCAAACTCTTCAGGAATCATATAAAGAGAAGACATTTCGTAGCCATAAACAAATCATAGCGAAATTAAAAAATCTTGCTACAATCTAATACTACTATCATAGAGATTTTGTCACCAATAATGTAATCCAGTGATTTATTTTACAAATTTTAAATCAAAACCACCTGGATTCTCATCTCTGCTGTATTACAAGCTACAAGCTCAGATATACAAATCAGTAACTATTAAGTCAGAATTTATATCACACACTAATTGATTTATAGTACCTCTTAGCTGATAGCCACCGCAAGGTAATTAAAGCTGGTTTAGTCATCTTCCACTGTCAGTAACAGGCATTTTCTTATTTAGCAAAGACTAAACCAGCTCAACTTAAGTCCTGTGTGCTGTAGGTTAAGATCATGCAGAAAGACAGTTACCACAGATCAGCAGAGGAGCAACAGCTTATTGCTTCATACTAATCTGCTTGAATGTTTGGGGCCACACTCTGACATTCACTTATCTTTGCATCTGTTTCCTCATTAATAAATGAAACGTAATCCTTCTTTCCTCTCGTCAGTCAGTTGATTGTTCTCAGTATTCACAAGGGCTCTGTGTTATTATACATGCAGTTGAATTACTATGCATACTAGTGTTTACTAGTCAATTGTTCCACAGTATGAAAAACGCAAGTTGTAAATTCTGGTCAAACTTGTAAAATATGAAAGTCACTTAAAAATAATATAGATAAATCATTCTTTCACAATTCCACAAAAATTGGTCTATTATAACAAGCAAAAATCCCCACTCAACCTTTCAAAGCCAAAAGAAAAATAAAGCCATCTGATGAATATTAGCTGACAGTGGATATTGATAAATTTCAGAAAAAGACTATCTGTATCTCACAATTTAATAAGATTTGATTTATTCATAATTTTGCTATTCTTCAGAAAGATGTAATGCAATGTTTCTGAGCTCCTGTCCACCCACTCCAAGAAACAAACAACCTGTGCTGAAAGGATTTAAGGAGGCAGTTTCACCATGAAAAGGTCACAAAGAAGTAACAAGGTACTGGCAACTGCAGCACTTTCCAGCTCAGACAGGGGAATTTCTTGCTTTCTTTATTACTTGATACAGACTGATTCTACTATTCTAATTTCGTATCATTATTTTTATCTGCATTTAACTATAGAACACTACTTAACTGAAAATATACTAAGAACCCGATATGATTAGACCATGTCAGATGCAGGTCTGTATTTGACTGCTATCTGTATGGCATGTTACTTCTTGCCTGTACAGGTTTTCAAGGTGCAAAGTCCAAAAATGAGAAATTAATATGTATTGCATAAAACAAATTATTTGAATGTAACACCTGTCTAAACACTCAATCTCTGCATGAGATTCTGGCTGGTTTTGAAAAAACAGTTAACGACTACGATGTCTCCATAATAGTTTACCAGCTGCACAAATGGCTGGCTACTAGTACCACCACTGACTAGTGATGGTAGTAGCCAAACTGCTCTTCCAGATTAACTCTCATTAGTATCACCTGAAAATATGTTTGCAATATTTTATACACATGCTGTTAAATTAAAAACTGATCATGTCTTCTGAAATTGTAGCACGTTCCTACACTGTGTCTTGGAAAATGCTTGGCACTATTAAAAACCTTCTGATAAATGAAGTGCCTTAATATGAACTTTTGATTATCTAAAACCAGGCTCTTATTATTTGAAAAGCTAAAATTTCACTGATGATTAGTTCTGCTTTCTATTAGCAGAAACAAAAATTAATGACTTTGACAAGAATATTAACGACTTTTGCTCTTGTTTTAATTCAGTATGCACGTCAGTATAGATGCAACTTAGACACTTCTCATGTTTTAATCAGATGGTGTTCAGCACTCCCTTCCAACCTAAACCATTGCATGTTCATATGATAGCCAATGGTGATTGAAGAGGTGAAAAGTTAATTAAATGTACAAGGCTGTTACACGAACAAGAGTTGACTAACTTTTCCAGTAGGGGGAGATGTTCTTTTAAAGTTTATCAGCAATTAAAAAGTGCTAACCAATTTACCCCTGTACCTTTTTAACAAAATCAACCTCATAAAAGAAATTGGTACATGTGCCTTGTTAGTGATATCCTCCAAAAGACAGCTGTATGAAAATCAGAAAAAAATAAAAAATTCACAGCAAATGGCTGTAAGAGAAAAACATATTGATGATGGAGCAAGCTGTGCTGACCGCCATCAAAACCAAAGTCTCTCCAACAGCAATATTTTTTCACCCACACAATAAATGTAATTTTTAGATGACAAAGATGCTATAACTATCACAGAGCAAGAAGGAAAAAAGGATTGTTTTTTTTAATTTAACATCATCAACTAAATATTTAAAAACAGAAAATAAACTATGTTGCCTGAAACGCTCCTTATGTCTCAGAACAAAATCCAAGCTGTGTTTTCCTCCTCATTTCCAAATTTCTTTTAAAAAGCTTAATGTCAGAAGTAATACTGTCTTGTGTCACACTATAACTTTGTTCTCCTCCCTAAGCAGTTTTCTTTTACAAATCTTCCTGAGAATCAGGGAGGTTCCTGAGCAGTGCAGGTTACCATCTTTTTTCTATGAATGCAGCTCACTGTCTGTCACTCTGCAGTTCATCATTCTTTCAGTTGTGCCACTGCAACTGTGGATGATGACATAAATCAGAGCTCTGAAATTTTTACTACTCTGATCTGAGTAAAAATAGAAGACTCTCACTCTTGTGTTTCTCTCAAAACAATTATTTTTTGACTCAGATCATTTCTATGATCCCCTTCAATAAAACAGCACTTGCTATTCAGTACAGCTGAAGGTGCAGTGAACTGGGAACATGTCTAGAGGACCACCTTAATCTGGCTTTGTCACCAGAGAAACAGCTGTGAAACTACACCACAGGGCATTTTTAAAGCAATCATGGTGAGAGTAGAAATTCCATTTATTAAAAAAGCCTTGGATTTATCACTGGTATATTTAGATGTCTACATGTCTGAGTCATTCCTGAAGACTCCTTTTACAGCCTGTAGCAAAATCAGAACCCAAATAGGTAGGATCTGGGACTTCAAATGCAAGTTTCCAAACCAACTGAGATGAATATGGGATGACAGGTGCATATTTCAACTAGATGAACAATTCAGATACAGGCATTTACAGTAGAGGTATATGAATTCGACGAGCTGATTCTTCCCTAGCCTGTCTAAATAGACGTTAATTAAATAAAGCCTCCTTGGATCTCTTCTGCAATACTTTTGATTTTTCCACAGGCACAACAACTGTGGAAAGAATAACATTATTTTCGCCATTTTAGGCACAGGGAAATGAGGTACTAGTATGTTCGCCAAAGTCAGTCAGCACCTTTTACCAGAATCAAGAAAAAATGCAAAACAGTCTGGATTTCTAGCTGCTAGTCTTGCTAAGTGAACAGAAATCATCACCGCTGGTAAGTATCCAGCTCATTTCCCACCTCTAAAATTGCCTATCAGTAAAACACCCCACTACATACCTTCAAATGCTTTGGATACTACCACTCTGAAAATGGATGCTGCTTTTACTTTCACAGTGCTAAGAGAGACTCACCTGCAAGTACAACTCCAAGCCTTGCCGTCGCTGCTCCAGGACCTTGGGGACCCAGTTTCTCACATGCTTTGAAGGGATCTCTGGAGTTCTTATGAACTTCTTGAGCTGCAAATGAAAAGAAATGCAGACAGAAACAAAGTATAATAGCATCCTTTTAAAGTAAACATGTTTATGTTAGAGATGAGGCAGTACAGGTAAAATAACCACGTATAAAGGACAACAACACAGCAATGAAGTTACTCACCATCAGCTCACGGAAGTAACAGCAGACTTCATACCTATAGGCTGCAGTTAAAAATCTCCACATCTAGCTGCCCTGGACAGTGAAGACCCTACTAACAATTTGTTGTGACTAACAGCCTTGAAACAAAACAGCAACAACTACATGAGAATACTTGAAATGAGCTCCCCGTTAGTCAACCTGGGATGATACCACACAACGTCACCGCAACGTACCCAGACACTACCTTGCTAAGTGCAGTGGCAAAACACCGTGATGATTTCTAACTCTAGATTTAGGCAACTATGAACAGGTGGGAGAAATACAGGGAGGAGAGCTAACCATTTCTCTGGAGAGTTGGCAATCAAGACAGAAAAATATCCATGTTCTCAAACTGCACCAAGATATTGACAGTTGTGTTTAATATCTTATACAGAGAAATAGCAAGATTGCCACTGAATGTATTTCCAAGACAGCTCCATAACTATTCCTCTGAAGATTCCCACAGGAAAGCTTTTATAAATATATACAGAAATGTGTATATGCATACACGACTGCATATACATAGACACAAGCACACAATCTGACAACACTAAGAATCCTCTTGCTGGAGCAACATTTTTTTTTCCAAAACCAAAAAAATATGACTGCTTTCCTCAAAACTACAGAGCAAAAATAATAACTGGAATAGACTCCATTGCAATTTAATAGAAGGTGACATTAGACATTCCTTCTGTTGGATATTGCCTCTGAGTAAATCCGAGGCAAGGAATGCAAGAAAAGAAACTCAAAATTGACTTTGACATGCATACCCATGGGAGACTGAGAATTTACATTTCATCTTTGAGCTTGCTGAGATGTCACTATAGGAAAAAGCAGTGCCAACATATCAACGTCTCTACAATCACAAGTAACGAAGCTGCAGCAAGGACACCTCAATTGCTCTGGAAACATTTTGCAACTTCCTTAATAGTGCTAAATTACAATTAAATGTGAAGTGAAAAAAATAAACCACCAAAACAAAACCCCAAACCCATCTACTTTTACTGACAGATCTTAAAGCCAGAATATGAAACCCCATTTTTTCCTCTAAATTGGTCGAGAATGTTGAAGAAGCGATGGTCACAGCTGCTGTGAACTATGACAGCACCTGCAGATGAGTAACAAATGAGGAGAATGCTCCAGATGAGGGGAGACAAATCTGAAACAATACAAGCATCCACCAAGGCCTAGCTGCTTACAAGATAAATACTCTGTGGCTGGTACCTCAGCTGATGAGTAGCAACCCTTTTGTGTTCTGTGGCCCTGTTATACAAAGCATCCAAAACCCAACTGTTTAAATGTGCAAGCATAGATGCTGTGTGTAGGTATAAAGCACATGCTATACAGATATACAAAGAATAAAGGATAAATCCACTTTCTTATGCTTACAATAATCCAATAATATATTGCAACAAATAATTATTACAATGCCAAAGAATATTAAGCAAATCTACGTATGTGTTAGCTATATTGCTTGAGACCTGTCCCTATACAAGAAATATTTATCTGAGGACAATTATTGTCTGTAATACCTTCCTGTCCATAACACTGACCTTTGACATACTGTAGTCTCTATTTCCTGCAAGACTAAAAGATGGCTCAAATTATCAAGTAAAGAATTATTTGTTCAAGTGTCATGTCAGTATGATTTAGAGTGTACACTAATTATTCTAAAATTATAAACAGCTTGCAAACAAGAGGTATAGAACTTAAGGGTTTTGCAGATTTCACTGCAGTAGTTGTAATGCTGTCACCTTCTAGCATTCTGGTGCTTAAAAATAACTACCAATATTTAAAAATGTAAAGGAAAAAAAGTATAAAAAGGAATTAGGGAATAAATATGAATAAATGGTTGTACTATGTTATACACATTGAATGAATTTAATTCTTTCTCAAAAACTCTCCATATGAGAATAATAAAACTTCTGTTCTGTAATGTGAATGGTGCATAGCCTGAAAGGTCTGGTTTGTCACTCATAAGCGGGGCAAAGTATAATGGCCTATGCAAACTATTTCAAAAAAGCCAACAGAGGTGGATGGTCTCTCTCAAGGGAATAATTTGTACTTCTGGTATAGCATGACAGTCTTGAAAAGATTGTAAACCTTTTCCACTGCAGCCAGATTGCACAGGAGGTGGGGGTTTACTTTTTTACACCACTGGAATGTAAGAAAGGTTGAACCCAGGAAGGAGACAAATCCAGCCATGTTCCTGCAAATGGCTTTGTTAAAAAAAAAAGAAAAAAAAAATCAAAATTAATCAAAACCTTGATTGGCATTCTGATGAATGAATAATGTCCTATACGGCAATGGAATCGTCCTTCCTCCATACAATGCCAGTAGAGCATGTTGTTCTCTGGTGAAAGGCACAATCTCCCTTTCAGCCTCTATTCCCGTTTTCTACCATGGTTGTTCTCTACAGAAGCTTTGTTTCTCCTGCTCACTACAGACAACTCCAGCACTAAGGGCACCTTGAATATGCATTAAGTCTAAAGATACCTTTCCAATTGCCATGTACTCACAGCAGTTTAGAGTGAAACTTACATTTTAAATTAAAGGGGAAGAGAGGAACAAAAAAATAAATACTCTATTGGCATGCTGAAAGCAAACTGGTATCTGGACCTGCGTATAAATAGTGTCACGGGATGTGAACAAATTGTTCACAAAGAACAATCCAGATACAAGTTCGAAATATTTTTCTCCAGTAAAAACTGTTCAAATACACACCCTACTTTTTTAAGGGCGTTGAGATTTTCTGCTCTAACACAAAACAGAGAGGACAATAAAGGGTGAAACTACATACTGTATTACCAGAGAATGCTTTCTTCAGGATTTCTGTAACACTGAAAGGTTCAGAGCACGAACAGAGTTCAACCATGTTTACTGAAATTTTACTACAACTTCAAAAAATAAGACTTAAGAAGTATATTGTTGCCAAAATATGCTGGGTGCTTTGCATCTGTACAGGGAACAAATAAGAAAAAGTCACTATCAAGTTTGCAGAGTAATATAAACAGACAGCAAGCAGATGAGGAGTAAGATGAAACAAGTTGAAGAGTGGTGCAAAGCATCTGGTTAGAATACCTGTTTTTCAGGTTTGTTTATTTTGCTGCTATTTCTGGAGAAAGAGTAAGGGACCATTGTTTATGTTTTTTCGGGTGTTCCAAGGAGAAATCGCTGCAATGGGAGTTACTGCAGAGGAAGCAGTGTACAAGGAGACAAATCTGAGAGTGAGACTGTAGTAATTTGTGACTTCTGTGTGGAGTAGCTGTGCAACTCCAGAAATTACAGTGAAATTAGACAACAATAAAGGGAAGAAGGAAAAGCAGAGGCATTCAATGCTTTTTTTTGCCTCAGTCTTTTATAATATTGATGGACCTTGGGCTGCCCAGTCCCCTGAGTCAGAGGACCACAAGTGTGGGAACAGTGACTTCCCATTCATGGACACTGAAATTGTAAGGGACCAGCTGTATCAGCTGAATGTTCACAAGTCCATGGAGCCCGATGGGATTCATCCCAGGGTACTGAAGGAGCTAGCAGATGTTACAGCACGATCCCGCGCTATCATCTACCAAGGTCTTGGGAGTCTGGGGAGGCCCCTGCTGACTGGAAGCTAGCCAGCGTTAGTCCAGTTTATAAGAAGGGCATGAGGGATGACACAGGAAACTGCAGACCTGGAAAAATTACGGAGAAGATCACACTGGATACTACTGAAAGGCATTTAAAGAACAATGCAATCATCAGGCACAGTCAACATGAGTTCGCAAAGGGGAAGTCCTGTATAACTAATTTGATATCCTTCTACAATAAGGTCACCCACCCACTGGATGAAGGGCAAGTGGTGGATGTAGTTTTTCTGGATTTTAGTATGGCTTTTGATGCTGTCCCTCACAGCATCCTTCTGGACAAGCTGTCCATGAGTGGGATGAGCAGGTACATGCTGTGCTGGGTGAAGAACGGGCTGGAGGGCAGAGCTCAAAGGGTTGTCATGAGTGGGGCTACATCTGGCTGGTGACTGGTCACCAGCAGTGCTCCTCAGGGCTCAATTCTAGGGCCAGTTCTGTCCAATACATTTGTCAATGACCTGGATGCAGCAGTTGAATGCACCATTAGCAAGTTTGCTGATGATAACAAACTGGGAGGTGCTGTTGATTCTCTGAGGGACAAGAGGCCTTGCAGAGGGATCTAGACAGATTGGAGCATTGGACAATCATCATTGGCATGAA